GATGAAATGAGGAATTTCGTACAAATATTTCAGTTAAAACAAGTAAAATGAGATGGACAGATAGAGAAAATGATTTCAGTATTCAAAGAGGGTCAAACTCATGTTGCAGTTGTGAGTTCTGTTAGTTGAATCTCACTGAAATTTGAAGATCATGGCTGGAATGGATCTAGTGATATACGTCTCAGTTGCCAATTTCTTCTCTTTTCTTCTCGTCCTCCTTTCAAGAAAAAAGGACTGTATGCTTCCGTTAATCATTAAGAACTTCTCATGTAGTAACCATAAACAATTGATACCGAAAGAATTTATGAATTATGATCCAAGGAGAGGAAAGTATGGCTATAAGAAAGATAGATATAAATGGAATGAAGGAAATGAACAAAAAAGATTTGTAATATTTAGTTTTTTTTAATTTACTGATGTTAGTTCTCCTTCAGATGATAGGAGAAGTTCAAAAGTGGATTCAAATATTTTTAGAATAATAGATATGGAACAAGCTTATCTTGAATTAATTGTAAGTTTTAGTTCTCCTACTTCACTACTTCTCAATGGTCGGAATTCATTCATCCTTGAAATTTTCAATGAAAAGAGCAAAAAAATCTAGCTATTGTGAGCTTACAAGCTCACAATGTCAATTACCGTTTTCAAAGTAATTGGCCTTTTCACAATCATTGAAGCATACCCTCAATGCCTCTTCGTTTTAGAAAGTTTTCATCAATTTTTTTCAACAATTTTAAGCAACTCTGTATTGCAAAGTTGAAATTCGATTCTAAAGAGAAAAAAGAATTGTGACTGAACTATGAGAATCGCATTTTTTACATAGAGGTTTACATTTCTCGAATATATTTAGGTGAGAACTTTCTGAAGCAATATCATCCTGTCTTCTTTTCGTCATTTTGTCATGCATGTCCAATGCTTGTTAGCTCTTAGAGAGTAATCAAGGTCATAGCTATAGATTTTTTCTGCTCACTTCAAATGTATATCAATATCTCCTATTTGTCTTGTTGTAAGTATCCTATAATGTTGTACACCGTTATTGCAGGTATTTTCGCAGTGCTCTACAATATCCAAATCGATTTTTGCTGGAGTGTCAGATGTATGTAATATTTGAAGCATTAATCCATTACTTCAATAGATTCCAATAAGGAATGGGCTTGAAATATTGCCAAATTGGTGAGTATCAGAAAATTAAGGAATGAAACTTTTTTTTTTATTGAGCGCTTGAAATAAATAATTTCGATGATTCTTAGTATAATAAAACAATTCAAGCACTTTATGAAGTATTTAAGTTTCCAAGTATTGAAGCGATCTTTCATACTAAAATAATTATAATAAAGATACAAAAAAATTTGATTGAATGAGAGATAATATTCATTATACCCTATACTTTCTAAGGAGTCATGTTAGCACGGACGTTTTGTAAAGTCAAATTATTGAAATTTATTTAAGTTAGAAAAACTCATGATCATGTTTTCCAAATTCGAAATGATTAATTTGGTGAGTTGATTAATTTAAATCAAAGCTGGTTAAGTAATTTTCATTTCATATTTGTTATCAAAAAAAAAAACGCATCACGGCAATTATGCTAGTGCACCTGTAATTAGTCGTCGCAATGAGATATCTTCATAGTAGTTCCTCAGAATCGGACTAATTTTATTGCCATATGTAAACAACGGCTACACAAAACCAAAATATTGCAGAAAGTATTTTTGAAATTTCTAAGAAGGACGAGAAGGAAATCTCGTATATCAGCTAATTAAGAACGATCGACTATTACTGACTGTTTAATAAACAAGTAAATTATGGTAAATTGTTAAGGGAACAGTGGCGTTCCCACTTTCCATATCTCTTTATCACTATCAAAATATGCATTACATTTGTTATTAAATTCTGCTTGGATAGTCTTCCAGTAACTGCGGCAAATATTTAGAATTTGTTTAAATTTGATTAAAAATTATTAATTTAAGTTAGAAAATTGACTGAAAGCGCATGGTTAACTATTTTATTAATAATATTAGGAAAACGAAGCAGTAAGACAATACATTTAAAAATTTATTTTATACTGGTAAAAATAACGGCAAAAATCTTTTGCGTGAGTTAAACATTTTTGATGTGAGAGAAGTTTAAAATTTGTTTGAAAAGTGATTATTTCGTTCTTAATTTTAGAAATTTAAGATCCATTGGAAAATTCAATTATGGAATCAAAAAATTTTGTATAATTTGCTAGCTAATAGATGTGATGCATTTTGTCTTTCGCTATTCTCCACCTTTTTTACTAACTTCTCATCATCAGACCAACTTTCAGAGCGATCAATAAATTATAATAGAAATTGTGTTTTTCTTTTCCACAATGATTTAAAAATTCAGTAAGAAAGTATTTGCTCAAATAAATTTCTGTCGAAATTTCGACATTATCATTAAAGCAGAATTTAGTTTTTATTGTTTGTATTTGCAGGAAGCAATAATCTGTGTTGGTTTCGCAGAAATGACTTTTATAACTGTTGATAATGTCTTCCTAAGGCAGCATTATCATTCATATACATGCGAATGCCGCTAGAATTTTAAATATTTGAATAGCATCTGTAGAGAACTATTGTTCCTGAAGAGTGTGAAATATCGAACTTTTGATTGCTGTACTTCAGCATTCAAGGATGTCTAATATTTGGAGAATGAACTAGCAGGAAATCTAATAATCACAAGATCTTAATATTCTAACATTCTAATGCAAAATTATAGTTATTCAAAGAAATATATTTTTACAATATTGCTCTGGCTTGAACCAAAATTTGTACATGAAAAAAAATATATTAAAAACAAAATACTTTAATATTAAAATCTGGGACATAAATTTTTGCTTCACATCAAATAGTATATCCTGAAATTTCCAAATATTTGAACAAATTATTTAATTAACAAATTTTAGGAAGGAAAAAGATAAGGAGAAAGATTGCAGAAAAATGATGAGAGTTGAGAGAGAGAAAGGATTATGTCGAAGGGTTTGTCGCACTATTAGTAAAAAAGGAAACAGCACTTTGGGCCACATAATAATTACGCTTCTTATTCATTAATCTCTTTCAGAATTCCGAACTGTCATATAAGCACATTGCATAAAACGAAGTCAATTCTAGTTTCTCTTCCCGAATGTTGTTTCATTTTTACTGTATCCATTATTTTATTAAAATTTATTGAATGTAACTTAATCAGTTGCATATCAAATTTCCAATACACACAACGTGGACAATCTCTTACTCTACCCTGTTTCATTCCTTCACTAAAAACTTTTGTCTCTTTGCGTAAATCTAGCCGATAGATTTTGTCCATCTCTCTCTCTCCCTCTCTCCCTGCATGTTCCATATGCTTAACTTCTGTCCACGTCTTCAAATCTGTCATACTTTCTTATTGGGTGCTTTATTTTCATAATGCCTACCGGCATGTCTTGCTCATTTGCTAAAAAAAGTTTTGAAGTCCTTTCCTCTTCCAAATATGGAAGCAATTGTTTTCAAAACTATTCATAATTGAAACCGAAAAATTTCGAAATTTGGCTTCCGACTTATCGTTAATTATTTATGAGGTGAGAGGAAAAAAATAAAAGGGAAAAAAGAAACCTTTATTTAATATATCGTTTGTCTATTTATCTTATTTACATAGAGTTTCACAATTCATTTGAGCAATGAAAACACACCTTGAGGGAGTTCCATCAACAAACATATTAGCACTGCTACAGAATGCCAACATTAACGGAAATAAACGGAAAAGTTAGATTTTAAGTTCTTAGTCAGTTCTCTGTATAAAGCTTCCTGCAAGACCTAACTTACGCTGTTTATTTCAGCTTTTCTTATAAACCTTTAATTTCTGCTCCTTTTATATTTTGGAAGAAAACAGGCTGAAATCAGCAGAAAGAAGTTAAGGCGTAAAGAAAAAAAATTGCTTATAAAAGATTAAAAAAGATATTTTTAACGAAAGCTTAAAAAGTTTCTGTTAAAATACACAAAATAGTGTTCCAGGCGGGAATTAATGACAGTTATTTTTCAATATTTTCCAACATACCATATTTTGATTCTTTTTTCTTGATATTTCATAGCATTTTTTTTATTCCAACCCATTTTCTATTTTTTAATTCAAACAATCATTCAAGTCCTCTTTTAGCAACCATCATATTGAAATGAAGCGTATTTTATTTTAAATGCCCTAAAATTATATTCGAAGAATTTGAAGAAGAAAATTGGCCACTTTTTCGGATCTATTTTATAATTTGATTTAACATTTAAAAAGTTTTCCATGAATTTTATTGTTAAAACCAGAACATCCTGTAAAATAGTGGCGTGAAAAATAGAGACTTTTGGTTATGAAAAGGATGTGTCTAATGTTTCTTGAAATCTTAACCTAATTTAAAGCAAAGTTAGGTTTGTTAATAAGTCTAATGTTATTCTATAGAATGGGATAACGTGGAAGTGACACTGAATATTAATAAAAAACGAATGAAGAGAGGAAGAATAAAGAAGAGAATAAAAGAAAGTGTGAACTGCGGAAATTTCACTATCACTGCTTTTTAATGATGCTTCCCTTGAGAGATTAATTTTGCACAGATCTGATTTAACTTTGACTGCATCTTCCATCGTCGTTTTCCCTACAAATCGCAGTTGCAGTTGCGTGGATTATTCCCACCACTTGCAAGCTAGTTATTTTCTATGCTCTCATTGATTACCTTATATGATTTTATTCACTCATTGAACGCATCACCAAATTTTGCTCCTGAATTTCTGAATAATTTGTATAATTTTTAGTGAAGATCCTAAATACAGAAAGAGCGGTACTAAACAGTCGACATCAGTGATTGCTTTCAGAAAATACTGGTTGTGCGAGATGTTCTTTGCTCTTCTTGTAACAATATCTCCTTGAGAACAGTAGTGGTCTTTGTATGTGTCACTTAACAAACAACAGTAAGAAAAGAAGCATTAACGGTAGCAGTGGGAAAAACGACGACAGTACAGGAAAAAATTCTTATGTTAACTCAACCATTCGACTACTTACGTTTCATTTTCATCATTCTGTTGGCTGGAGATTTACCGGTCCTCTTTGGTCGGCAAGTATTTCTGAGAGGCGATATAATACTTGGAGGCCTCTTCCCCGTGCATGAAGCAGGTCTCAACGGTTCTGAGTGTGGCGTTTTGAAAGCAGCACAAGGTGTACAACGTCTCCAAGCAATGATCTATGCACTTGATTTGGTTAACAATGATGAGACAATTTTGCCGGGCATTGTGCTTGGAGCACAAATTCTTGACACATGGTAAATTTCAGTTGTCACCAATTAAATCTTAATCATCTAATGATTTGTTTCGCAATGATTGTTTGATAGTTTCGGGATCAGAGACAATAAGCTTTCCTGCAGCAAAAAAGAAAAAAGATTAATCTAACAATTAGAGTTGAAGGAGTTTCGTATTGAAAGGGGTTGGCAGTAACAGTATTTTATATATTCGCTTCCTTATTTGTTCTTTGCCAAAAGCTAACTTTTCTTTAAAATTGTGATTTTTTCGCAGTGCTTTCAAATGAGAGGCAAATGAATCAACCTAAACTGATATAGAAAAAGTGCTTTACATTAGCACTATTTTCTTGCCAGTACGTTCGATTGTTTCATTACATTGTGCCATATTTATGATTTAGAATCTTAACAAAAAAGCTTATTTACTTCAGCTCAGTTGATTCGTATGCACTGGAACAGACGTTGGTGTTCATCAAGACGATAATGTCGCAAACAGACGAAATTTACTGCTCCGATGGTTCCAAACCTATCTATCAACATCATCCAGTTGCAGCCGTTATTGGTGCTGCCAGTAGTCAAGTTTCTGTTATGGTGGCATCTATGCTGCAACTATTTAAAGTAAACATTTCGTTCCACAAAACAATTTTAATGAAAAACTTTGAAAACCGCATTGACTTTGACAACATCCCCTTCATATGTACTTTATCTGATGATATCAAATTCCTCTCTTTTATGTGTATAATTAGCTTCAGCTTTATGATTTTTCCAGATAGAATGATCCATTCAAATCGTAGTCTAATTAGTTAACCATTACAATTATTTTATTGATGTCATACTATTTCAAAACCTAACGTAATTCGTTTGCACTATATTTTGTATTTTATGGTTTGGCACGATAACCTTTAGTTACTCGACCATGTGGAAAATAAATGATTAAATCGCATTTCAGGTTCCTCAAATAAGTTATTCTTCAACAGGCACTGAGCTTAGCGAGAAACCAAGGTTTGTTGGAGTTTCTTTAAATGAAATTTTCAAATAATAGAATTTTGTAACTTCATCAGATATAAGCATTAAAGTAATAACTTATTTCAGATTTGCTTATTTTTCACGTGTGGTGCCGCCAGATAATTTACAAGCCACTGCTATGGCGCATGTGGTAAGTTAAGAATGGACATCAACATTGGAAACTGTTTCAATCAGTAAAGCCTTTCATTAACAATGAAATGAGATTCCACTAGTTCTAAATCCTTCCTCTTTATTATATTGAGTATTATTATAAGGTCACTCGTTGGTAAGATGACCACTTGGACGTTACAAATAATCTTTTAGTGGTACTTTGCCAAAAAAAGTGGATGGAAGGAGACAATCACGTGCCAATACGTGATTTAACAGACTATTACTTGATAAGTTAGTCAAATATCAGGTCTCGGCATTAGGCTGGACTTATGTTCATGCGATCGCTATAACTGGCTCTTACGGAGAACGAGGGATCGATTCTTTTCGTGCTGCAGCTGCTGAGCTTGGCGTATGTATTGATGGTGACGTCCATAAAATTAATCGACGATGGACAGATATTCAGTTCAAGTTAGTTCTGCTATTGTCAACTCTTCATATTTTCAAAGAATCATTAACATTTCTTTCCATCCTTTGCGATCATTTTTTATGAGTAATTTCTCTCTTTTTGCCTCAGTTTGACATTCACTTGAATTGAATTTTTTTTGTACTTAACTTTCTATATTTACTTATTCTTTGCAAACTTCAGAGAGCTTTTCTTTAAAATGAAATATACAAAGAAAGCGCGCGGCGTTGTAATGTTTGTTGATGAGGACCAATTAAGGCGGATGCTCTCAAGTTTAGATGATATCAGGCGCGAGGATTCAACTTTTGATAATTATTTTTGGTAGCTTATAACTCCTCGTTTTTAAAATTATAAATCAGCAAACAACGTATATGAATCGTTAGTATACGTGAGAAAGGAATCGTACGTCCCGTTTAGGATGTTAAGTGCATTTGTTTGACTCAAAATGAGAAAGTTCGTCTTAAGTCACATTCATCTTCTCTTGAAGAAGCTAAAAATAGTTATCACAGTAACTTCAAACCGATTAAACTTCAAGAAAATTCGACTGCATAGTAAAAATGACTGAAAAGATTCCAAACAGATTCATCTATAAGGTAAAAAACAAGGTGATATTGTTGAGATGATTAGTACAGCCGATAGACTAAAATGTTAATTTTTTTAAAGATTAAGTCATGAAGATATTTGACATAAAAATGAAATTATATCGCAAGTGTACCTAATGAAGTTTTACGCGTCACAGCAATACTATCTAGGGATACGATAATTTTATAATGAATTTCTTGCTAGTGTTGTCATAAGCGCCAGTCAGTATTTAGAAGACCTGAAGAGAGAGAGAAATTATTTCGTATATTCGAATATTAACTTAGACTATCGATTGAATCAGTTGTAAATTGGATGCTTCACAGATTCGTTTTTGAGCCAAAAAATGTAACTTGTCGCATGAAAATAATATGAAAAGAAATGGTACTCAGGTGGATTGCCAGTGATTCTTGGGGAATCAAACAATCTGTTATAACTGGATATGAAACAATGATCAGCGGAGCAGTAACAATCTCACCTGATCTTAAAGTTGTGCCAGGTTTGAAAGCATATGCTATAAACAATAGCCTTTAAAGAACAATTTTAGGTACGCTGTTCGATTATTGGGAAATTTATTAAATAAATTGAGAATCTAGTCACTGATAGC